ACCTCTCATCTTTCACAACAACATTGTAGATCTTATGGAAAACTGGCATTTCACAAAACATTTCTTTACAAACAACTAAATCTGCACGATACATATTTCCATGGTGTTTGGCCCATTTAACATTTAATACTTTGGTGTTGATTGGTAACTGAAGAGTCTCTGCTATCTCACAGCCCCACTTCAGTACATTTAAAGGCACCATTTTACCTGGTCCAATGGTCAGTCTCTTGTGGTCAAATGTATGCCAACTGAAAGCAATGTGACTTTGATGCTTTAATGCCAGGGTTTTTTGTAACATTTTTAAAACTTTTCAATTGTTTTTTAAAGAAATTGTGTTTAGCTTCGTATCGCATGCACCAGCTATGTAGAATTGGGCCTATTTTGAGTATGCATGTAGGATAATGCACCATAAAATGATGCTTTGGGAGCAACTTTTTTTGTGGAAACAAATGTTTGAATAACCTGTGATGTTCGGCAATCAGGTGTTTTAAGAAAATAGTAATGCCTTTTGATAACACTGGTGAAAAAAACAATATTTACTATGTGAAGCAACAGCTGCAGCAAATACCAGTGCTGATCATTTGGACAAACTAAGTCTCCAAAGATGAGTGGTAGGTTACGTAGTAGACACCAGGACTGGATGGCATTTAACCCCAAGTCATTTGAGTCTTCTACCAACTTCACTGCAGGTGGTTTGTTGGTTTGTTCCATGTAGCCATAGTTAAAGCTCCTTATTCTCCTGTCTACATCCTTTAATGTTGTGTACTGGTCAACTACATGCAACAAAATCAGCTTCATTTCATATTGTGCCACTCCTTCCAAGATATCATGCATAATATCAACTGAGAAGTTTTCACATGTACTGAAGTACTGTAGTGAATTTAGAATGCATGACTTTTTAAGTCAAGGACATATTCTACTGGGTCTACACGTCCCCAATTATCTGCCAAAAAAACGAGTTCTTTTACTTTCAGAATTTAATATCTTGAAAGGATTTTCCATTTTCTCAAAACATTGATCAATTTTGCACTCAATGTCACTTTTGACAGGTTCTTGTAAAGAAAGACTGTTTTTCACAGATTCTTTTGCTTGATTTTGAAAATCATTAACTATTTCTTCCAGGGAAATTACCAAAGAGTTAATTGCTCTTTCACTTACACCTGCAAATTTAAGTTCTGCAACTGCTGTTGCACAACTATGCACAAGAGATTTCTGAAGCGGGACTGTATCAGAAGCAGCACTCATAGAGGGCAAATTTTGACTTTCAAATGTCTCTTCAGTTGTAGATGGGCCTTCACCAGGATTACAAGTGTGTTTATCATGTGCTTTATTGAGATGCTTTCTGAACCCAGAAAATGTGCCATAAACTTGAGCACAACCTGCCTGACCACATTTAAGACGAAGTGTCTTACCAGAGCAAAGTCCGTGGATCAATTTTAAGTGCTTGGTCAGAGAATTAGCATTTGTCTGGTACTTCTTACAAATGAAGCAGAACATTCCAACTCAACTTAATACTGAAACAATCATAGCAAAACAACTATTTAACGCAGCATCCGAGCCCTCAACTGCAACCCTAGGATTTACTTTGGTTGTCTCAACATCTATCTCATAAATGGCGGTCTGCAGAAAATTGTACACATTGACCAGATCATGGTCATATGAAGTGCCGAACACAAAGTGAGCT